CACACACACACACACACACACACACACACACACACACACACACACACACGCTTCAGCAGAGGCCACGCCTCCAGCAAGAATCGCTTCTCTATAGCAGCGAGTCCAGACCCTCGTACGAATCAAAGTGAAGGACAAGGGTCTGGTTTTTACCAGGCTAATAGCATCCAGTAATCGCAATTTAATGAGGAAAGAACTGCAGTCAATAAGCATCAACATCTTGATACTACTTTTAGGAAGAATCTTTGTATTGACCTCCATCAGTCTCTATGGAAAAGCACCCAATAAATCATTACTAACAGTCATCCTGGAACAAAAATAATCACAAGTTGACGTTTCTAAGAACATTGTGACAAATCAAGAGGAGAAAAACTCTGGACTGCAGATGTAAATCATCTCTGCCTTGAAACTGTTTGAATATTTCAATGTGTCATTTTGGATTTATTGTTTGTTTGGTTTTTCGGTGGTTTCCAAGGGGTTTCTTCTTGACTGTTTTAGATTAAATTTAAATGTAAGGATTTTGATTTGTGTTTATAAATGTATAAAAATGTGTTGAATTTTTAAATAAAGTATGTTAAAAAAAGAAAAAGAAAAGCACCTTAGTGGTATCAACACATCTACAGTAAGTCCTGTTATGATTTGCCTACTTTTCCACAGTTGTAAGGAAAAGCAGCCGTCTTCCATTTCCCCTGTAGAAAATGTACATTTTCTGTCCGGGTCACATTCATTGTGTTAAGTTTGTAACTGTCAATTGTTATGTGGGGATCAATTTCAGACTTTTTCATTTTTATTTATTTATTAGTTTTCTTTTTAGAAAAAGTTTTTGGACAAGCTAAAAATTCTATTTTTCTGTCAATAATATGGACATTCTTTTTACATATATAGTAGCACAACTAGGACAATTTCAGTGTATTTAATAAAAGCACATGAAAGGAAGAAACAAAGAAAGGAAACCTCTGTATTTCACCCATGGAAAGGCTGATTTTATAACTGTATGTAACACTTTCTTTGTGTCTCTCCTGCCTGTTTTCTCAGATTGTTTATAAAGGAAACCCTTATGCAGACCACAACTCTACAGCTTATGCCACGTATGAAAGAGGAGTAGAAGTTGGTTGCTGGGGACTGTGTATTAATGCCGTGTCTTCTGCTCTCTATTCATGTAAGTGATGGCCCTAGATGTCCGCCTGACAAAGTGAGTGTGTTTTTTTTTCCAGCCAATATCTACGCAGTCAACATCCATTAACACCCTGACACATGATAGCCATGACAGCGATGCGAAACGAAACAGATAATGGTGGGCAATCGATGTATTCCTGTCTTCTGAAATGGGTTCACAGGTTGCAGCCTCTCAGGCTCTGCAACCAGTGATGTTTCCCCGAAGGGAAGCTGATGTATACTTGAAAAGAAAAAAAGCAGGTTTGAGGTGAAAAGAGTAACTGCAAAAAAGATGATAAAGTGCTGCGTGCAAGGTGAAAATTCAAACAAACACTAAGGACATGGGCTCTTCGAATTTAGTTTTACAGTGTTTCAAACTATTATGAAAATTGTATTTAAATTTTATAAAGATTACATGTTTTGTTTTTGAGTCAATAGTATTGTGTCTCGGTGCTCTTCTGATTAGAGATGTGACATTTTTGTACATTCCGAATCTTTTAAACGGCCACAACGAATGATAGGAACCAAGTCACAGACAGTAATGAGCCGTTTGTCGTTTTTATTTTTTTTTACTCCTGGTAATATCTTTTTTTCCTTAACCATAGACACAATCGCTCCCCCTTCACTTTTTCATGGCAAACAGCCATAGGGGTGGAGTACAGCAGCTCAGAGGAAACTCATGGTTCCTCCCATGTGATGTGATGTCATCACATGCACTGTATATGATGAAGTATTCCCCTGTGTGATGACGTATTTTGTTCAAAATCAAACACTTTTTTAAATGGCTCTGAAAAGAATGGCTCATCAAGATCCAGATCCATTTAAGGAGCCATTCATTCCATCTCTACTTTGGATCATTGAACTCGATCTCAGACACCTGTGATGATTTGTTTGCCAGGTGAGCCCAATTAAAGGAAAAACTCTTCATTCAACATTATTAAGCAAAGCAACATTTTCAATCAATATTTTAAAAAAAAGTTCAGCAAACATCAAGGTTTAGGATCTTCCAGATGCTTGGCCACCTCTAACCGTGGCTGCAGTGGGCCCAGAAATACATGAAAACTAAAGTTTACAATGCACCATACTGTGCAAGGAATACCTCTGCAACATTGGCTGCTATAAAAGGTGAGAAACACATGGTTTCACCCCCATCGTCACGGACACCAACAGTTTGAGAGCTTTTGGAGCAAAAGACCTCTGGGAGTGGGAGGCAGCATCCAAACAGCAGCTGTGAGAGGCTATTCTGACATCCTGCAAAGAAATTCAAGCAGAAACTCTCCAAAAACTCACCAGTTGACTGGACCCTGCATTGAAATGTTTTTGATTTATCAAGTAAATGTGACCTCCTTCCTGCTGCTGTTAATTTAACAACCATTTTTAGTTTTTTACAACCTATAAAATGTTTTGAAACTTTTGTTGTTGGAACAGTGCATTTGAAGTTTTTTATTGAAAAAAAAATTGTAATCTTTGGGATATTTTTTCAATAACACTCAAATTCAATTCCTAATATCCGTTGACTTGAAAATTATGCTAACTATTTTGTGCATCAACTATTTAGGAACAACAAAGACGACAATTTTCATGATTATTTAAAATGCAGTGTGTTAACATCCTGGGTGCTGAGCAAACGGTTTTATACTTTTCATGACTTGGACAGTAAAAGTGATTTCTTTCAGTTCCTGAGTAGCTATATCAATTTGTGATGTGCATTTGTGTGCTTCCAGATGTGCAGCGCTTCCTCCTTCCATACATCGGACTGAAGGGATTGTACTTCATGGGCTACTTCATGTTCGGCATGGGAACCAGCCTAATCGGCCTTTTCCCCGATGTTGTCGCCACGCTCGTCCTCTGCAGTGTGTTTGGCATCATGTCCAGCACGCTCTACACCATCCCGTTCAACCTGATCGCAGAGTATCAGCGTGAAGAAGAGGTACTGGCAACTTTTGCACAGCTGGAGGGTGGGGGGTAATTAGGTTAGGAGAACAAAACACACTCAACCAAAGAGTAGCAGATTGAAACAGTTCTCACCAACAATCAGTCAGTCAGTTTAAGTTTTTAATACATACTCTGTATTCAGGTTTGTTCATTATGTGACCTCCCTGGTGCTCCTAAAAATAAACCTGTTAACAACCAAAAATTTGTACAGTTATCGTATATAAATATGTATGATTATCAAATGAAAACCAGAGTACAGTGGAAAAAGAACATTTTTATACCCAGAATTAACATCTGCTTAATAATAAATATGTCCTCCAGATACAATAATGTGAAAACACAAACCTAAAGCCAATATTCAGACCTAAAACCACTACCATTGATTATTAAAACCTTTATAAATAACTTATTCAGTGAAGCAAACAAACCTGTTAGTAATGATTTATTCATTTTCAACTAACTGGCTATAAATCATAAGACTGGGTACGATTAGGTAAAAATGTTAAACTTTTAATGGCATCTACATCTCAAGAAGAACTTTACCTTCATTAAATTTTTTTTACTTATTTTATCTACATCAAATAATTGGCCACTAGTTGTCATGGGGTGTTTTTAAAATGAAGGCGTATATATTTTTTTATTTAATTCAAAATTTATTTAATCAGGCAAAGTCCATTGAAATTACAGATTTTTTAAGGAAGCCCTTGATCAGGAATTACATTGCTTTTTAAATTTTTTGATAATATATTTTTCTTATTTGAGTGATTTATTTCAAACTAAAGTCACCTTAGACAGAACACATTCTTTGTTTGAACCCAAAAATCTGGAAAGCTCTGTGATGTTTTAGTTTAGTTTATCTAGTATTGTCTATAGAAGCATCGTAAAGTTTGCCCGAACTTGATGAACCATGAGAAATATTTAAAGTTACATTATAGTTTTGTAATAAATAACTAAAACTGAACAGAGGTGGTTAAATGTTTTTGTTGAAATGTCACCATCCTGCGACAAAAGCTAACGCTGATGAAGATACCATTTGAAATTTAAATTCAAAATGTTTTCATTGAAAACAATATGGCAGTTTGATGTTATGCTGGGTTGTATGACCCAAATTTTATATCACGGTACTTTCAAATTTATCATGTATCATCATGTATCACAGTATTTGGCTTTTTTTTTTCATCACTGCTCATCTGATAATAAATTGTACAAACACTGCTTATTGATTAGCAAACCTAAAATTACTCTCTGAAACACAAACTATTTTTTCTTTTATTGTACGTCTGTCTGTGTCGTTTTCCCTCCTCTACATGTCTTTTCTTCTTTTCCTGGTTGAAGACAGTAGTCATGCACCCATGAAGGAGGAGGGTTGAGCAAAGGACATTATCAGGCCTATCATTTTGTGTTATTTGATAAAACTTAACAGGCTGACTCAGCCTCCGTGCACCAGTCCACTAAACTCCAATACAAAACCACTTCCCCTGGAATCCTCCCAGGCTTTTCACAATAGAAGCACGTTACCACCACTATACATGGGGCAAATTTACATTGCGTATGAAATCTATCCATGCACGTCACTGAAGAGGTGTATACATTCAATGATGGCAAAACAGAGAGATTTTAAAAATATGTCAGTCAATTTAAACAGCGGAATCGCAGCATAATGCCAGTTGTTGAAAAGCTGCTCCAACACAGTGGTGGATCTAGGATTTTTCCAAGTAAGGGGCCATCAAGGGGCCACCTCTTTCAAAGATGATCCAAGTGTTTGTGCTGCATTGTTACACAAAAATGCCTGGTTTTGTTAAGGTGTATAAATTTAATGTAATTGAAAAAGCATGTATGATAAAATCTCAGTACCAGTTTTATTGAACATAGACAAAATACTCTCAAACAAACGGCATGTGAGAAAATGTGGCCATTATTTGTCAGCTGAACGACATTTTCTGCAGGATTGTTCAAATCTTCTGAAGAGAAGAAGTCTTCTTGCGTTCATGCTGGACTTTATTTGACTCATCAGCACCTCTAGTGTTTGGACATGGAACTGCATACACCTTCGTTGCTCTCAGGCAAAGGACAGATGAGTGACTGGACAGTGGCAATTCACGGGGCCAATCAGATATCAGCTAGGGCCAAAGCCCCTCTGGTCCCGCCCCTAGAACCCCTGCTCCAACAATACCATTAGCTTGCATAGCGCTGCTACGTGGAAAAGTGTTCCTCGTGAAACAGTTCACTGGCAGGCGCGATGTAACATTACAAACGTGTTCAAACTATTTAAATCAATTTTTCAGGTATTCAGAAAATTCATATCATAACAAAAATAAAAACTGGCGTTCAGTACAAACCAGTATACCGCCCTTCACTAGTTCGAAGTGCAGCTCGGACGCTGGCCACATCATAAAGTTTGATGTCTTGTAGAGAAATGTTAACAGTATTATGAGAGTTAGCTGCATTAGCAGGGTTAGCAGCTTTAGCAGGATTAGCTGCGCTATCAGAGTTAGCAGCATCAGCAGGGTTATCAGTAYTAGCAGGGTTAGCAGCATTAGCAGAGTTAGCTGGGTTAGCAACATCAGCAGGGTTATCAGTAGTAGCAGGGTTAGCAGCATTAGCAGAGTTAGCTGGGTTAGCAACATCAGCAGGATTAGCAGCATTGGCAGTGGCTTTTGTCACAGGATGATGGCATCATAACAAAAGCTGCAAATCAACAACAAAGGCTGCGTTCCATTCTGAAATACTTACATTTATTTAAGTTTTTTAATTTTTTTTTTTTACATTTGATGCCCCATACATACATGTAAAGTTTTGTAAAGTGGAGAAGTTTGATAATTAAACTCAGAGACGGTTGATATTACAGAAGCTACACTGGCAGAACAATACCAGCTAATTCTCCTGAATGCTCTCTGATACAATAAACATTTTTAATTTGAAGCCACACCAGAGTTATTAGTGCATATCACTTGGCTTCAGAACTGCAAACACATTATTTAGTCGTTAACTGTTGAGTTTGCTGAAATTGAATTGGCTCGCTGTTCTACTGCTTATTCATCCCAATTAATTTAATTAGATAATGGAGAATTCATTCACTCTGTTTTCAGAAAGCTATGGCCTCATGGATGGAAACAATAAAGCGAATATTGAATGCATCTAATGATCATAAAGAGAACGTGCTCAATTAGTTTACAGGAATTCAGTTTTTATTTGAGCACTTTTCATTTTGTGCACTAATTTGTTCTCCTGCTGCCTTGCAACAGAAAACCGGTGGCAGCTATTTTGGCATGTTTGGAAGCCAAGATTTTGATCAGAAATGCACCATCGTCTCTTGGATTTGTTTTTAAAAAAACAATTGCTAGCAGAAAAAATAAATGTTCTCTTGCTTACCGTGTCTCATTATGTAAATCCAGGTGACAAGTCACTGCATGAAGTAAAAAAAATATATATATAAAAACAGGTCTGATTGAGGCACTGTATTGTTTTTATGAGATTGTTCGGCCCACTTATTTTGGCCTCTTCGAAACAAAACTATTTGAGAACAGATGTTTCTTCACTAATCACCAACTCTCTGCTCTGCTCCCAGGAACAACCCAAGCTACAGGCGAGCAATAAAGCCCCCCGGGGCACGGGGATGGATTGTGCAGCTCTCACCTGTATGGTCCAGCTGGCTCAGATCATCGTGGGGGCGGGGCTCGGCGCTCTGGTCAACGTAGCAGGAAGTGTCATCGTGGTGGTCCTGTCGGCCTCGACCATGTCCCTGATCGGCTGCATCTTTATTGCTTTCTTCATCAGATACGTGGAATAATAATAAAACAAAAACTGCTCGGAAATAATTTTATTGCTGTTCTTTTAATAAACAAAAGATCTTTATTTTATCCTTTAAATGTCTGATTCTTTAGAGAAATCTTCCTTTGCTTCTACATTTTGTTGACATATTCTGCCTGGAGGCTGAAACAGATTCAGGTCAGGTTGACACAGAATGTGTTGGCTTATTTTGGGAAATTATAATTTGATAAACTGAAACTAATGTGACACAAACAGGAGAGACTTTTTTTTTTTTTTTTACTTATAATGTTCTTTTCTCTCAGCTATAATTTAGCTGCCAGAAGAGGGAGGCTTTCTATGGCCGAAGGAACAGCGTGTTGGAAGGGTTTGATTGTGAGCCTGGGTGCTCTGCAGGTACCAGTCCAAACATATATACCACCTCGGAGCCCTGAAATCCCGAGCTGAAAAGGCATCTGTATTTTTGGGTGGCTGTGATGACAGCTGAGATGATGAGCTGGGGTGGGGGTATCAGTAAGGCTCTTTTGGGGATAACGATCCTCTGTAAAGTCCCCTGAGCTTGAAATTTTTTTTTTAGAGATATGAAGACAAATCTTAAAGCAGTAGACAAATTAAACATATGTGGACATGGCCCTTCAAAATATAGATAAAAATAATACAGGGTGAAACAGAAACTTCAGTAGACCTGTACTTGTGGACGACTCTCAGAGAAGGCAGCAGGCACAATCTTTAAGGCTATTTGCACTTTGTCTAATAACTTGTGATGGACTTGAGCCCTGTTCAGGCTGTACCCCAATGTTCCCACAATGACTGCTGGAAATAGCAGCTCTCTTTGTAATCCTACACAAAACAGCAGACAATGAATGAATGGATTTTTAATATCTGCTCCACTTCTGCTCTGCTTTTTCCAAACAGGTGGTGAATTTGTTGAGTGCTTTTAATGTACTGACAGTAAAATACCACTTTAACTGAAAAAAAAAAGGATCATCTTCAGTTTTTCAAGGATGTGAAGATGCTGCCGGCTGTTTCTCTCACACAGATGACAATGTATTCTTTAAAGGAGAAGTCAGATGATGCTCCTGGAATTTGATACTTTTTTTTTTCTGAACAACCGAGTCAGCAATGTTCAGTCAGAAGTGGACTCGATTGGATCTCTGGGGCAAATGACTGTGGTTAGTGTTGATTCTGACTGAACTGTCAAATCAACAGTGTTTTTATTTTATTTTATTTTATTTTATTTTATTTCGGCTTCTTTGGGAATCCTTTTTCTGCTAGATGCCCTTCCAGTTGCAACCTGGGCTCAAACTTGCAGCCTCAGACTGCATAGTCATGTGGCACACTATATCATGTTACAATGTTATGACCTCTTCATAACATATCCAGACTGTTGCTTTGACTCATTCATGCATGTTTGAGAGGTGCCTACATGCTTCAGCCTGTAGCTGTGCTCCCACCCCACAGAGCACCGCTCCCCTGCGCCTCCCCCACACAGCTCCATCAGATCTGGTGGAGCTGCATGTCTGTTGATCTTGTAATACTAACTACTACTCAGTCCAGTCTTTTTCAGATTAAAAAAATGCTTTCATCAAGGAAATGTATTCTTGGATGCCAAGAACGCTCCTACGAAAGGAAACGGCATGAAGCATTGTTGTGAAGACGTGCTGAAGTGGGAATGTCGAAAACGGTAGGAGGTAGAGAAAAAGGCCAATTTCAAGGTGTTTAGATAGACTGTCGAATTTATTTTTTGACATTTACAGCTTTTTCATAACAACTGAAGGTAACAGTTACTTGACTGTGGTATAGAATTGAACTATGTGCTTAGAAAATACATAATACCCCCACTTTAAAAATAGAGGTCATATCATGGTCACTAGGCTCTATTACTGTCGATTTTCAAGGTCTGACTTTTCTGTGTCAGAGAGTCCACAGTTTAATTACAGCTGAGAGACTCAAGCATGTTCACCACCTGCCAGCATCAAATGATTCAGACCCATGCACCTTTCTGCTCTGACGTGGGATGTTGAAAGCACTTCTCATTCTTTCTATTCTCAATCCAACATGAACCAAAGCAGAAGTGCTAAATGTTCCTAGTGCCCGAGGAGCCTTTAACACTGCAGGACTGAGGATAAAGGCCGCAATATTTCAATTAATGGCAACATGACTGAACCAACTGAAGGCCTAGCGTTATTTGCATGAATTCATATCAACCTCCATCTTTTGTGTCACAGATTTAATCTGAGCTCATCTTTTTGAGAAAGCTGTTTTGGGTCAGCTTCAAAGATTACCTCAACATTTTGTGTGATCTCAGTGTGTATGTTGTTGGGAATGTGTCTCAACTACGACCACACCAATTTTCTTTTCAATAAATCTGTTACCTGCCTTTCACCTTTCAGCTTCAGGATTTAAAAATGGATCAGTACATCCCACATGCTACAGCAGACAGGTCTGGGCCAGGTCTGCCAATGATGGCACTGTTTTGAGATGACATGCCACATCTGGCCCAGTTGTGATCTGGTCTATGTGGTGCCCAGACAGATTTAGCTATATTTGTGTATGCTGCGCACGGAAAATAGAAAGATGTGGTTTACAAAATATCTAACGTTGCATCTAAAGTTCAGGTTGGTTTAGTCACTGTCCTTTTCTGCACATTAGATTTAACCAAGGTCTGCTAAAGTTTTATTTAAAGTTTTTGTATTTTAGATCTAAAGTTCAACAACTGCACTCATTCGCAAATCTTCCTTTTGGTTTATTCATGGCTCCAGGTGTCTTCTAACACCTTGTAGACAAAGCACTGTCTCTGCATTTGCTGTAACCTTTAAAAGATCATCAGCACGTGTCAAACACAAGGCCCATGGGCCTAATCTGGCCCTTGTTAACATTTTGTCCAGCCCCGATGGCAAAACTTGAAACATAAAATAGTTTATGGTTTCTTTGTTTTGTCACTATCATGACAACCGATCAACTTTAAATCAGCAAAAATTAAGTTTGAATTTCTCTCCACTGATTTTGGTGTTAAATGAGCAACAGAGTTGACTTATATTTAATGTCACACATGTTTTAGTGAGGGTTTGCTTTGTTTTTTTCCTGATTTGCTGGATTGTGCTCAAATACTGTATATCTGAAATAAATCACAAAGGTATTGATAGAGAGTAAGACATAAGAAATGTGTGTGAAACACCTTGTTTAGATTTAAAAAGACAGTATCAAAATGAGTTGATCTGAGACGCATCTCAGAAAAGGAGTGAAAGAGGGGCTTGTGGAGTTACAATAAGGAGGAGTTTGAACCAAAGCATTGCAGTTCCATTTTACATAGACCCCAAATGAATGATTTTCATGTGAAAAAGAAAAAATTAAAAGCATGATATGTCCAATTTTAAGGAGGATGTTGTTTTTGTGGTGCAACTTGGTCTTTAAGTTGTGTTGTGGCCTCTTGTTATCTTTTCCTTCTGTCATTATGTCATTTTAAAATTATGTTTCTAACATATTCAAAGTTTGCTTGGTTTTTTATATTCTTTTAATATTTCTGCATCAATGAGCCACAAATAAAAGAAAAACCAGTACAGCAGACATTAGTAACACTACATTAGTTGATTGATTGCTTAGTCAATTCAGTGGTCTCTTGCCGCATATATTTGCAACATAATTCATCAACTTTATACAAGACTTTTTGTGATTTTAGTTTTTACCCCTGAAGACTTTCAATTTATCTCAGAGAAGCTCGAGACACTAAAAATTTCTGAGCAGAATTCAAGGTGAGCAGTCATAAGCTTCTGCTGCAGGCAGGCAAGAAGCATTTACACGTTTAGTTACTGCTGTTGGTGCGGAGTCACATCTAAATCAGTTTTAGGCCTTTAGGGAATCATTTTAATGGGGAGAAAAATGTCAAACTACGTAATTTTGATGAACAGCCGTGACTCATCAGCAGTGCCCATCACCCCAACTGTACGTTTTACTTGTTGCTCCTTCCACTGACGCTTGTGGTATCAATGATATAAAAGATGAGTGAAGATTGATTTTTAAAGACTGCTTTCACATTTTTCTCTGCTGAATGGGGACAGTGTCAGGTGGAATAGACAATTAAAGTACAAAAAGGTTTAGAGTGAAATGTGCTCTCTTGCCTCAAGGTTGTGTAACAAATTTGGTTGGATTGATTTGCTTTGACAATGTAACTGAAACTGCGTGCTTAATTTATTTGTTTGTGCTTTTGAAATGTCAACATTGCACATTTTCCAGGAAAGCATAATAGTTTTAGTTCCTTATCCTTTGTATGATTTCAGGGAATTGGTTGCTGCTCATCAGAAATCAGTTTTTATTCTTTGACTGTGGCTTCAAGCTATTTTAGCCAAACAACAGTTTCTTCTATCTTAGCAACCTCTGCTGTTTGTTTCACACCCAGCTTTTCCTGGACCAAGGAAATCCTGGCCAGCAGAATTCAGCCGGAGGAGTTTCAGTCCTTGGATTGTGTCAAGAGATGGAGCGCAGCTTCATCCCCGTCAGTCCAACACTTCATAAACAACCTGCTGTGTCTGCAGGTGGTTCACTTCACCTCAGGGCCAACAAGGACAAGTTCAAAAAGGCTGCCTTATTGTTTGTTCAGCTTCAATGTTTGCCCTACTGACAAAACAGATGGACAAAAAAACTGACATGATGTAGACCTAATCCTGTTGAGAGTTTGTCTTGTATGTGTGGGTTTATAAAAACATGCATGCAGTGAGAGTGACTGTGTGCAGGGTTATTATGAGCCCCGCATGTGAAACAGGAGTCATGTTGTTTTCGTACTTTATTTGTTTGTTTATTTATTTTCAGTGATTTTTGGTCAACCGTAGCACAAAAACGGCTGCGCCAATCAACATGAAATTTGGCAGGACTGCAGATGAGTCTGACCTACACTGCCCAGCCAACGGTTTTATGATAGACCCAACATTTGAGGAGGGGGCTCCTTTCAAAGTGGGGTGTCTGGACATGCAAAAATGCTTATAACTCAGAAACTGTTCTACATAGGAGCTTCAGATTTCTTTTGTTGTTTAGACATTTGTTTCTTATAGTTGCTTTCTCCATTTACAGCTGTTTTAGCATTTTTCTACTATTTCAGCTATATTTTTCCTAATTTTTTGTAAAGTTGTTTTTCCCCTCTTTCAGCTTTTTAAAATGAACTCACAATAACACTATTGCCATTAAATATTTTCCGCTTAATTTCAACAGCTTTGAGCTTAAGTTTTAAGCAAGAAGCATTCACACTAGCTTTTTTGCAGGAAATGCAATTTCTCTGGTTCATTTTGTCATTTAAAGGATTGGATTTTCCTCAAATTCTTACAACTTGTGTTGCGTTGTTATTATTATTTTTTAAAGAGTAGGAAATGCGCCACAACTAACCATCCCAGACCCTAAACTTAACCTCTGTACCTTAAATTAAACATTAATTCTAATCCCTCATATTAACCACAGACCCTCAAACCGAAGACTCCTATGTGGCACAACCCGGAAATCGCAGGCAGCAATGACTGACATGAGGGGGGTACCTGACACGTCAAAACTGGACGCAGACAGTACCTGACCAAGAGTCAATATGTTGATGAGTTGGGAGTGAGAACGTGGCCACACTACAATCTGTAGTTAAAGGTCTTGTGTTTTAGTGTTGGCTGTGGGAGATTTTCTGTGTAAACTCAAGGATTTTCTCCAGGTCCTCTGGTTTCCTACCATAGTCCAAAACCCCAAAAACCTGTAGGTTAGTTAACAGTTAACAGGTTAGTTTACAAGTAATTATTTAGTGATTCTCTCAGTGTTGATCTAAGATTACAGTTTGTTTGTGTTTGTCATGTTTTAACCTACAGTACTTATCAAACGTGACATGGACTGAGGGGCCAGAAGGATTATTGCAGGGCTGTTCAACTAAATTGCTCCAGGGGCTGCGGTTATTACCCTAACCCAACAGCTCAGGGCGAGACATAAGTGAAACACTGCAGCGTGGAACAGAACAAGTACTATTATCTTTTACCTTCGAAATTTATTTGTTTTGTTGCATTGAAAGCCCTGGATTATTGGCTCTGAGTCAAAGCGGTGTTCAGTGGGATTAATTCAGCACTATTAACAAACAAGGTGCAAACTGAAACAGACCTAAGTTGCAAACATTAATTTCCGGGAAAAGATTGACACGATATTCATCTTTGTTTGTTTCAAGTACAATAAAAGCCAGGTGTCATTAAAAAAGTACAGCTGTTGTTTTAGGAAGGTCCCCGTTTCAAACATCCCCAGTGTTTTTTTCTTTCTTTTTAAATGATAAATAGACTGAACTTATATAGCTCATCTCTGTTGTTTTTGTATTATTGTACATGGCTTGAATTCCCCCCATTTTTTTAATTCAACAGTTTTTCTTATTTGATTTGTACAGTCTTGCAACACATAATCACTCACCTCTTGTCATGTTCTGCCTCGACCGTGTGTCTGAGTTACAATTCAGAATCTATTCTTTTAGTTTTGGTTGGTGTTTCATTGTGTTGTTTATGTTTTATTATGTTCTATTATGTTTTATTTTGTCTTTCCACCATTTTTACATTGTTGATGATAATTGTACAGCACCTTGTGAATATATTTCTGTGAAAGGCGCTTTATAAATAAAACTTTACTTACTTACTTATCAAGGCCCTCCCGACCCCAAAGGGCTTCACACTTACAGTCATTCACCCAGTCACCCACACACTCACACACTGACGATGGTAAGCTACATTGTAGCCACAGCTGCCCTGGGGCACACTGACAGAGTGCCAGTTTGAGAAATTTAAACCATTCAACCTATTTCTATTAATTTTAGCTTCTTCAGTTTGTTGGAAAAAATAAAAACAAAAGCTTTTTATTTTATTTCACACTTTGGATTTGAAGGTTTCTTGTACTTTTATCAGTTACTTCATAGGAACTATGCAGTTCAAGTACTCCAGTAAAACACATTATTGCTTCGCGTTTTGACAAACGATTAAGCTTTGACAGGTTTACGCAAAGTAATGGAATTTTTTGAATAATAAAAAAGTCGAACTGGAGCACTTTGTCCTTTTTAAATTGTTCAGGGTGGCTTCTTTGAGCTGTCAAAAATGAAATCAGAGTAACTTCAGACTAAAAAGTTGACTAGGAAATTTATTTCATGGCAGGAAATGTTGTCCATGAGATGGAAAGAAAAATGATGTTGGTGTGAGTTACAGGCCAGGATTCTTCTCGTTTAACATGGCAGTGAAGTTCTGCTTCGTTGCCCTTCATTATACTGAACCTCTGTGTCTCCAGGCTTTGAAATACGAGCAGGCGACTGATCGTTCTCCTTCCAAAGCTCGTATTCCACTCTGACAGCTTGTTAAAGCCCACTGAGACCCCGACAACCGCAGCTTCTGACTCCGCTGTGTCATCTCGTCACAGCTTTTTGGGGGGTTTATTCCCTGTAATCTGCAACAACCCCCCACCCCTCCTGAGACGCGGGGTTGTGTGTGGAACAGAGACATAACATCCAGATCATTTTCCAAAAGTGTTTCCAGACATTCGTGACGAATCAAAAAGTCCTCATCAGCACCGCAGGGGGATGAAATAGTTAATCTCTTTGGGGGAATACTCGCTGTTGCATCGAAATTTTTAATCCTGATTTTGATTTAAGTAGTTTTCATCCCTTGAAGTGGGGTTTTACCCACAGATGAAATGCATCACACGGACTGATGATGCTGCATTCAACACCCACATGACAAATTAGCCAGGTCCTCTGGCTCTCCAGATATTTATTCCTAATCAGATTAGCTGGTTTCCACATTCAAAGACAATTATTTTTTTAGCTTTTAGCTGCTTAATTAAATAACACATGAGATGTTTATTATGGAAGGCTTGTTATTGTGTTGAGCCTGCAGGACATCTATTAGTCTTAATTAACTTATTTATGTTTCCACTTGTCTCAGAAAGACAACACTGGTTGGTGTTTCAGAAGATTCACTTCAGAAATCTGGCAGCAAAGAATCTGATGCCTCTTTGGGTCCTAAAGTTTTGTTAAACAGAGGAACCTGTCTGCAGCAACGGGCTGTTTATGGATTATGATTAAGTTGCCTGAGGTTTAGTAAAGGTCACTGATGACCTTTGACGAATGGATGTGAACGAATCAAACAGAAGTGTGAAAAATTCCTTCTTCAGTCAGATACCAGAGGGTCTGCCTTCTCCACTCCTCAGCAAAACAAACTAATCTTAATCTTTCTTAAATAATTACGTTTGTATAAAATGAATAAAATGTGACAATATCCTGCCTTTTGTTTACCTCTTAAACAAAATGGTTTATTTTTATTTCTGCACATTGCTGGTTTAATTAAAACAAGTCATTATTTTATTTTGAGTTTTTGTTTTCCTGAAGCATTTTCAAAAATCATAACCAAAATTAAGAAGGCATGCCTAATTAGATTCATTTCTTTATATAATGATGCAATGGATTTTAGTTTGTTTAACCTTATTTTCTAATCGTCCAGCTCAGCTCGCCTTTTCTTTTTAACCCAAACTTATGATCCAAATTTTTCTTTGAGGCTCCCTTTTATTCTTAATCAGGGGGAAATGAAAAAAAATAGCCATAAATGTCATTCTGAGCCAGAGGTCTGCAGCCTGAGTACTCTGGAGATAGTTCTGCTCTAAAATAAAAAATTGTTCACAATTCCAATATCTACCCGAAGCTTAAAGTAAAGATCATTCCTCAAGAAAGGGCATATTTTAAAAGAGATTTTGTTTCAGGAAATTCAGCTCCAGATGTTTGAAAATATGATGAAAAAACATCAAACTTTTATAAAGAATTTATTTCTTGTGTTTATCCCTTTTGATCCAATTTAAACACTAATTAAAGTACCGAGTTTTTTATATCTGTGAAAACTTAGTGTCTCACTTTGAAACATACAGTATTTAGTTAAATCAAGCATAAAAATTAATTTATTTCTTTAATCGTTTCTTGTCACTCAGTTAATATAAAAACAGAGCTGTTTACTTTATTAGACTGATTATTTATTATTTGATGATTCTTATTGCACTTTATTGATTGCTCCAACATGTCCTTGACAAGAAAGAAAAGAAAGAAAAGAAAAAAACAAACCTATGAAGTTAATATCAAATCCAAGCCTTTATTTACCATAATTAAAAGCATGTTTCAATGACTTCATACGTTTACAAAAAAAAAAAAAAAAAAAAAACTGCACTTTCTCTTGTGCCCACAAGAAACTTGCCACAAATCCATTAAAATAATTTCATTTTATTATGGATTTCAAGATAGAATTCTACATCTTGTGGCTCAATGAGTGACAAAAAGGAACTACAAATACAAAACTTGGATGTTTTGTTTCTTGATTTGTCAGTTTGATCAGGTTTTACTCTCGTGTTGCATAAAACTGAACAGAAAACCTCCTAAAACTGTGTCTTGTAGTTTTAAACTAAGTATAAATGTGAATCATTTCCATGTTACTTTGAGTTATTTGGGTCACAGCTACTGACTGCCACATGTGGCCTCAGAGCCACAACTTGGAGACCCCTGTTCCGAGCAAAGACAAGGACCAGCAGGTGTCACGGTTTTGAAACATCTTTAAACAAACAGCTTAATAGAAATATGACCTCGTCAGTTTTGGGATGAGTTCTGATTGCCATCTGAATGCATGTGTGGATATGATTTCTGTGTGGAGGGCCAACATGCAGGGTACAGTCAACGTGAGGAGTCCTGAAGCTACGTGCTGTTCTGCGGCAGATCCCGCCTGTCGTTGTAGATCGCAGCCCCCGGCGGGTAAAACAGCACCGCGGGCGCCGCCGGTGCGCTCCCAGCCACCAGCGCGTGGCCCTGCTCGTCCACCTCCGGCTTGGTGGAGGCTGTGATCGGCCTGATGGTGGTCAGGGTCGGCGAGGTCATGCGCCAGAACAGGTTCTTCAGCGCCTTCCTGAACTCCCGCCGCATCAGGCAGTACAGGATGGGGTTCAGGCAGCTGTTGGAGTGCGCGAGGCACACGGACACGGGGAACACGTACACCTGCATGGTGTAATACTCGTACGTGAAGTGGACCGCGTTGAGCTTGACCAGGATGCCCCAGGTGGTCAGCGCCTGGTTGGGCAGCCAGCAGAGGAAGAAGGACAGCACCACGATGGTGACGGACCTCGTGACCTTGGCGCGCCGCTTGGCGCTCGAGGTGTTGATGTTCTTGGAGGTGATGAAGCGCAGCAGCAGCAGGTAGCACGCAGAGATGACACCCAGAGGGACCAAAAAGCCCACCAGCACCTTCTGGGAGTGATAGAGGCCGAGCCAGAACTGCGACGTCCCGTTGGCTTCCGGAAACTTGACCAGACACAGGTCCTCGTTGGACACGGAGGCTGTGGTGGAGAAGACGGCGTGCGGCAGGGCTGCGGAGACCGCGGCGAACCAGATGAGGATGGAGACGAAGCGCGGGGAGCAGCAGCGCGCGCGCCGCCGCCTGCCCTTGAGCGCCGAGGCGAGGGAGCAGTACCTCGCCACGCTCATGGCCGTGAGGAAAAACACGCTGGCGTACATGTTCATGGCGGTCACGTAGGAAACGATCTTGCACATAGCTTTGCCGAAGGGCCAGGTGAAGTCCAGCGCGTTCTCCACCGCCCAGAACGGCAGGGTCAGCACGAACTGGAAGTCCGTCACCGCCAGGCTGGTCACGAACATGTTGATGGAGGATTTTCTCCACACCTGTTTGGACTTCATCAGGTACAAGACCAGCAGGTTCCCAACCAGACCCAGCGCGCAGACCAGGGAGTAGACCACAGAGATGGTAATCCTGACCACAGCCGCGCCGTCCCCCACAGAGTCCGTCCTGCCAGAGTCCGACATGTGGAGCGCGCGGTGAGAGCAGTTGGTGGTGTTGAAAACGCAGCTGAAGTTGAGAACCGACCCGGAGGCGCTGTCCTCATTAGTGTCTTCAAATTCTCCAGACATTTTGTTTTTTAATGTATCTTTTTATCCCAAAAAATGTTCAGTGAAGTCATGTCCTGGTCCTTTAGAAGAGAACCGAAAACAAAAAAATAAATAAAATAAAATAAAAAATCCTCGGCTCTTGCGCCAAAACTCCACGTTGGTTATAAAATCAGGAAAAACAACACGCAGCTGGTTGTTTTGAATCCAAAGGTTGAAAACAGAGATGATCATCGGGTTGTTTTGATCCTCTCAGATTTTCTTTTTTTCCCCTTTTCTTTTCTAAATGTGTCCAACAAAAAGCAGACGCGTCCTGACGCAGCGCTCCGGCGCATTCCGGCGCTGTCCTTGGTACTGATCAGGCGCCACGAGGAGAAGAATAACAGCCTTAAAACTCATTTCATCTGGATTAAAACGATATAAAACCAGAAACTTTCATAGTGAAGCATTTAATAAACACTTTATGTTAGAATCTGCCTCTCTCTCCTAATCTCCTTCCTCCCTCCTGTCATCTCGAGCGTTTGCCACGCGCGCGCACATGTACACGCATGTGTGCGTTATGTCATACAGACTGAACGAAAGCTGGAAGTGATGAAATTAGATCTTTACTGTCAATTCAGAACTATTCAAAATTGCTTCTTGCTTATTTAACCAGCTGTATAAAACATATACATCTGACCAACTTTGTTAGACAACTTTTTTCTCATATAATTTTCATTTATGAGTGAAATTACTTATCTATTTAATCATTTTTTAGCTCATTTATTTATGTCAACAATCTGATGCAGCTGTTTTCCAAATCTGGCAGAGGACGTCCTTTTAATCTTCCCAGCTTCAGTTTAGGTGTGGTTTATTTACATCATCAAGGACGTGTGTTTTTGTGAATTTTTTTTATCTTTTAAGAGATCTTTTCTGGTATAACTAACTTGTCAAAACCAGGCACAGGTCCTTTTGGGGACCAAAGACCTAGCATAATCCCAGTATTCGGGGTACGAGTAGAGGGGGGTTAGGGTGTTCTGAATATGGTTAAATCATGTCAAACCTAAGATCCATGGGCCAAATGTGGCTGTGCATGACATTTTATGTTGCCTGCAAGAGCTTCAAAGATATATAAACATATTAATAAGCTGATTTAAATCCAGCATTGGCCATGAACTACATCTCTCATAATGCATGTTGAATATGTTACTCGTAAAATGATCATCTCACCAATATAGGTGAAGTTTCACAAAGTAACTCAGCAGGCGAAATATAATAAAAATATAAATGTAAATCTCCTTTTAGCTGCATTTTCACTGACAGCTGTATTGGGAAGTGGGAATTTCCCACTTGCAAGTCTGAAATTTAAACAGGAATGACCCCTCAGGTGGGAATTCCCTGTTGGTGGTGAATACTCACCACAAAAAGTGTCTCTTGCTTTTATTTTTAATAGTAATTCTGTTTTATTTCTTTCACATTTAGTCTACCATGTTTACATTACTTTTCAGTGTGTTAAAAGACATCAGTATGAAACACAAATTTCACGTGTTAAAACATTGTTTCTGTGCATGAAATACTGCACAGAACTCAATTGTTTATCAGTGGTGTTTAGCTGTAGCGATGAGATGAGGAACGTGATGTTTTGGGGTTAGTTGAAGTTAAACATGAAATGTGCAACATTTATGATTGCAACTGGTCCTTGGAGTGCAATCATAATGTGAAAATGAATTTGACACCCCTGGTTTAAGTAAGGGTCAGGGTGAGGCTTAATACAAGGTCCTGATAAGGATAGAAATACCAATTTTTGTATGTTTTTATTCATGATATAAATACTGTATTTTTGAGCATTTTTTTTTTGTTATTTGCAGTAAGAACAGTGACAACCGTAAATATCCAATAGCTATAATTTTTATTGTTGTTTATTATTATAATGGAAAGACATAAGAAAAGTTTTTTAAAAGTATTAAACTGTCAATGATAGCATCTTTGGTGAAGTAGAAATGTCCTCGGAGCACTTTCTAAAATGTGTTTATATTGAATTTGCAGTTTGGGTAGTTTTGACATTGATAAATGTGGAACACTATGTATTAAAATCAGGGCTGTCTGGTGAAATAAAAACATGATTTTGTTGAATGTTGTAATAATATCCACTACAAAAAGCTGGATTATCCTCACCTGTTTTTTTTTTTCTGCTCTGTTCTGACAAAACATCATCTCTTTATTTTCATCTGAACCAGAAGTGTCTCAGGGCAGTCAGAGTCCATTTCATTGACTAATAAAACTATTATTGACATAAGACACATTAATGGAAGGTACTTGAAATATAAAAGCCTATGATTTATTGTCCAAGCAGACATTTTGATGTTGCAAGAACAACAATTTTTATATTGTACGTTTTGTTCAGCTCAAATAAAAATGATTGCTTTAACTGCTTTAAGTGTTCTTGTTCATTCTATAAAAATGTGATTTATTTGAGAACATCATTAGAATATGACCTCCTCTCATTTGACGAAGATTTTCACCTGAAAGTTTGAGTTGTGCCAGAGTTTATTGTTTAATTTTAAATATTAGCTGACAGCTTGTTGGAAATCTTATTAAATGTTTTGATGCAACAGTTTTTTTTTTTCAAAATAAACTGCTTTAAATGTCATTTATTTTCATTTTCATTTGATCTTCCAAGTCAATAAAACATAGACATACACAGACAACAGCTACGGCAAAAATCTGTTTTTAAGGGTCTAGAAAATGTCTTGATTGTTAAATTATTAGCTTTAAATGTTTTTTTATTTTATTGTTCAGTTTGTTCTGCTCACTTAAACATGTTTGCGCTGTAAATTAGTCTTTTTTGTACTTTACTTAAGACAAATTGTTTTAAACTTTAAAACATTAAATTTTACATAAAAACACTAAAAGCTGCAATCAGTGAGGCTTTAGCTGCCCTGTTTTATATGAAAGTAACTAAAACTTTGATTCTATCATATCTTTTTTATATTTAAAACAACAAAGTGCTTAATTTATGGTTAAAACAAGCATAAAGTCAGTGAAATGACACAAAGGCCCATCTGAAAAGATGAGTTTTGAGCTGCTTTAAAAAACACTGATTCCACTGAATTTATGTTTGTCAGGATGTCTAACTTTATGTTTTTGTTACGTATTTTCTACATGTGTATTAGAACAAGTTTTGATTTGTTTTGTGTCTATTTAAGGTTTTCTGCAATGTGTGCAGTGTGTGCTCTTGCTTCAGCTTTGAATATCATGAGCTGGAGTTTTTCATAGTTTTCTGCTCTGAGATTCATTTTCTTGTTTGTTTCTTAGAAAGTTTGGTTTCTGTGTTTTCTTTGTGCTCTGTTTGTTTTTCTTTGTTTCCTCTGAGCCATCAGTCATTCCCTCCTCAGTCTGTTTCCTACTCCTTAGTCCTGTCACACACACTCATACACCCCCGTTTCATTAGGCTCAGCTGTCTCCATCCCCTTATCAGCCCCACTCATTCCTTCTTGTCTCCGTTCACTCACCAGTTTGTTGTTGAAAGTTGTTTGCAATCACGTCAGTCTGTGGTTTTTCTTTACTTAATAAATGAGTGTTTCATTTTACTCAAGTCCCTTATGTAAGTCTGCATCTTCCAACCTCTCAAATTGGTACACTGATAAACTAAACGTCAGGCTTTTTTTTTTTTTTTTTGCAAACAGTTTTGTATTCTGAAGTCAGGGTCTCAGACTTTTATATCAGCAGCACCACGATGCTCTGCTACACTAACTGGACTCTGGTCATGATGGTTCTCACCTCACTGTTACTCTTCATTTATCCTTTAGGCAAGTTGTACTGTTGTCAAGATCACCTAACCTGAGACCAAGTCAAAACCAAGACCAGAGTGTTGAGATCAAGACAAGACCAAGACTTTTAAGGGCTGGACCAAGTTGTGACCAAGAGGAAAAACAGAAACTAGTTCCCTAATAAACAGTATACCGTAGCTAACATATGTTTTTGCATAATCAGCCTGCCGCGCCCATCTGTTCTCCGTTTCTATTAGCATCGGCTGCAGCCACCTCCTCATTTGCCCAATCTACATTATGTAGTCCTTCAGTCTTCACTCCAGCAGAGTGTATTATCAATGCAATGTGTGGCTCTCCATGTTCACCACGAGTTTTTCTTTGTAAGTAGACATGACAATAGTTTAATTTATTTATTCATTTGTTTGTTTGTTTGATTAAATTTTATTTATTTTGAGCTCTTCAAGTCAGTCTGCATTCTCAGATCCAACCTCCTTCAAAAGTGGCAAGTTATAGTTACATATACTGTATATATTAGTTTAACTAAAGTAACATGTTCACATTGAGACGAGCCATTTTGTGCAAGTGGTAAAAATGCCACCTGGTTTTAGGGTATCTGTACTTTACTTGAGTAATTATTGTCAGCCTAATTTTTACTTCTACTTCTTACATTTTTTGCACAATTACATACTCCTTTCATTTTAAAAAAGAGGCAAGAAGTAGAAAGTCATTACTTTTATTTCATTCTTGCTTGTTTTCACTCCAGCTTGTTATTGTAAAAAAATAAATATTATCCATATAAATTGTGCCTCCTGGAGAGAGTGAATTTAATTGTGGTTGAATGAGAAGTATAAGAATATAATATTCTGATGCCGTATCATCAGTGGTGGGCAGCACTAATCTAAAAATTAGTTCCACTAGCCCTAAAGCACTAACTCAAATATTTAGGTCCCCTAATTCTAAAGCACTAATTCACCATATATATTTAGCAAAAGCTAATTCTAAAGCACTAAAATAACCCAGTCAACCCATGAATTTTTTCAACAGACAACATGAGTCACATGTTGTCATGTTGCTCTCTAAATTTTTATAATTGACATTCCACAGCTGTATTTGGGTTCATTTACTGTCACCTGGTGGATAAGTGACACACATATGAACAAAATGTGTGACAGCTTTCACCATCAGCTGTTAACATTAATGCTTATCAATAACATTTATAGACCTCAATTAGTGATTCTAAATTTAGCCTATAAGTTTAGCAAGTGCTAATCCATTAATGTATTTTTAAATTAGCAAAAGCCCTAAAGCACTAGTCAGGAAATGAGTTCCCCTATTAGTGCTTTAGTGCTTTAGGGGAACGGTGCCCACCGCTACGTATAAGTTTGTACACAAACAAATTATGTCACACTCCAGCAGGACATCATCATTTAAATAAAAGTACTGTACTTAAGGAGTATTTGTATTTCATGAATTATATTATTGCATTCAGCTGCAGCCCTCAGATAGATTTTCATTTTGGAGAAAATGTTTGGGCAGCCTTCATATACTGTATATATAT